TCTGAGGAAGAGTTGCTACAGGATGTGAAGAAGGAGTCTGGTTTATTCCTTTTCAAAGCCTTGTGATCCCATTGCTCTTCATTACAATGTCTGTGGTGTGATTGTTTAGCACACTTGTCCATTTTGCATGTATCACACTTATTACCACTATGGTCTTGGTCCTGTAATTTTGATATGTTTGTAGGATCTAGTAGGGCCATTAAAAAAAAGATTTATTTTCTGACTGACCTTACCAGATTTTTATTACATTTTTTAGTTAACTGGCATTCAAACTCTACTGCTGACCAAAATGGACCAGGATTAGAAGTGTTAGTGGAGGTAGACTGTTACAAGGCCAAAGTCACAGATTTAGTCAGAGCGTCTTGCAATAAAGACATAACTGAGAGAACTGCAGTAGACACGTTTTTATTAACTGAGTTTGTAGTTGGTCTGAATGGAATCTGATTTGTTTTTGTTTCCACCTTATTTGCCTTTTTTTTTTCCAAAGAATAAGTAAATGTCACAATAAAGAAAAATTATATCACAGTTAGGACCAACAAATAATTCTAAAGATACCAACCTACACAAACAATGAAATCCCTCCTCTCTATCCTGCTATCCTGGAGATAAGTGGCTTAAGTGGTTGGAGTAAACTTAATTATCTCCAGGTAGAGAGAAATACTTTGTTTTTACAATATAACAAAAATGTATTAAAATCCATAATTTATATTTCACCGAACGGAATCCCTCTGTTCAACATACCCCCAGATAGCTTGGATCTGAGCGCTCAATATAGCCGAACAGCGCTCAGATCCCACAAACACAGTTCAAACGCCATGGAGCTCAAGAGTTAGTTCACCAGCTGTTTGTGAACATGTGTCTGAAAATAGCTCCATGGATTCAGCTACCTGGGGTCGGTCTCCTTCATATACTAAATGTCCCAAATGGCATGGTGTTCGTGTACTTGGAGACGAATGGGATGGATGTTGGTGAGCCTCAGTGCAGTTCGTCTGAAAATGTGTCCGAAAATAGTTCCATACTGTCAACGACAATACACTGCTGGGCGTTCGATGATCTAAAATGTCCGCCGTCACGTGTTCGACAAATGAACGATGACCACCCAGACGTTCGTCAAATACTTGTGGATAACCGCAATGGCTGGGTGGTTAATGAGCTGCACACAACCACTCTAGGTGGTCTGACTGTTCGGTGATTTTAATGAAAGCATGGAAGGGCCAAATACACATATACCGTACAAAATAAAAGACTCCAGAGGTGCAGCAAAACAGGGGTTTTGTCACATATAGATGGAGCCATGAGAATGGTTTTTAAACAACCATAAGCAGATTCATTGAATGCTGCAAGATTATGAAAGACCTGAATTCCACAGAAGAAGGTTCCAAAGCTTAATGTGGTTGACTGGTTCTTTACTGTAGTATTATATAAGGTAGTTGCTATTACTCATATTTACTGTTCTCTATCCCATATTAAAAACTGCAATAAGCAGGAAAATTGTTATTACAGGAAGAGTAGAATTTTAGTGAATAAAACAATAAACTTAGTTGTAATTTTCACACAGATTAGTACTCTAATATTATACTGTTATCATAATTTCTGTTCTTGATTGTTTACATGGTGTAATATTGTGTTCTATTTAAACAAGACCAACATTATAATCATTAAACAAATACTATTTTTATTTTATTTTGTGGGTACAACTTTTACTGGTAACTCTACCACATTTGATGCCGAAGTTTTCTGTCTTAAAAATACTTTAAATCGATTTGTAATAAAAGAGCCATATATGGGCACATTAATAAACACCTGATAAAGCATTCCATATTATCTCAATCTCAAACAAAGTAAATTAGGACACAAAGCAACTACTGGTGAAAAAAATAATCACCTCTTTCCTGAAAACTGAAATCTGTTGCTCCCTCTGGCCTCCCTATTAATGTGAAAATGGCAGTGAGGGCTTATTTGCAGGGTGGCCCCAGACAAATTACATTTTGTTTATTAAATAGCTACTCTGGGTGGTGCACATAAATATGTTTCATGATCAAATAACTAAGATTTGATGCAAGAACAAGTATCACGACTATATAATTTTAAAATTGATATTTAAAACATATGTAATATTATTCAACGTAAACCAATTTTATCTTTCAATTTAATTAAAATATTGCAATTTAAATGGGCTATTTATAGCATTATCTCAAAGCATGCAGTAATATGCATGACAACACAGACTTTACTGCATTAGTAATCAACTTGATCTTCGGAGAGATGATTAAAAACACCCGTGAGATGGCTAGCATTCGCTCTAACTCACATACGTCTGTGGAGTTTATTTATTATATCTGACAGCTCTAATGGCTGATAAATAATCACAGAAAGACATAGGGGAAGGTAAACATTGCTGGGGTTATTATAGTAGCAGAAATGTTACAGATTGATTGGACAAGGAAATAATTATACCATGTATGGCATAGGATCCATTAACAGTAACAAATTAAATATATTTTTCTGTGCCTTCATTTTCCTATGCTATAATGTCTGTAATATGCCTTGTACTGTAGATAACAATTGACAATATTTCCATCACTATTTTCATACTATCAAATTCGAGAAAAATCTCCCATCACAAAAAAAAGGAATGCCAAGATAGTACAACCTGGCAAATTGAATTGATCCAGATTTCAACTTTCTAGTCTGTGCTGTGTACTTCCTTCTGTTACTGAAAATAGGACAAACTGAGTATTCCGTATTTAAATTTGTCATTGACTAAACTGGATTGTTTTTAGATCTGTATAAGAAATGTTTTTTGTTTTTTTAATTAAATATATATATATATATATATATATATAGTTAATACAATGCTAAACAAAAATCTGCACACCAGTCAAGCCATAAGACTTGCTTTTCCCACAGAAATCCCAAATCAGCAGTGATGTTACAACCGCAAAGGATTCTGGGTGGGCATATGCAAATTAGTTTAACAAAGAATCACATTTTTGCCTCATTCCATTTTAAACATGGATTCCTTTTAATTTGTGTTTGCAGTATACAACTGCTTGGAACACAATTTAGGATAAGATGCAAAACCAGTGAACCACTCATGGACAGCTGTTTCGTTGTTAATGCAACTCTTCAGCATGAGGTTGGTTACTGGTTTGCTTATGGAGGCTTGGTAGTGCTTGGGAAGCAAGATCCAAATAGATTATGGTGGGGAAAAATTGTGATTGAAAACCCCTTCCACCTGAAGTATGTGGATAGTTAATACAATGCTAAACAAAAATCTGCACACCAGTCAAGCCATAAGACTTGCTTTTCCCACAGAAATCCCAAATCAGCAGTGATGTTACAACCGCAAAGGATTCTGGGTGGGCATATGCAAATTAGTTTAACAAAGAATCACATTTTTGCCTCATTCCATTTTAAACATGGATTCCTTTTAATTTGTGTTTGCAGTATACAACTGCTTGGAACACAATTTAGGATAAGATGCAAAACCAGTGAACCACTCATGGACAGCTGTTTCGTTGTTAATGCAACTCTTCAGCATGAGGTTGGTTACTGGTTTGCTTATGGAGGCTTGGTAGTGCTTGGGAAGCAAGATCCAAATAGATTATGGTGGGGAAAAATTGTGATTGAAAACCCCTTCCACCTGAAGTATGTGGATAGTTAATACAATGCTAAACAAAAATCTGCACACCAGTCAAGCCATAAGACTTGCTTTTCCCACAGAAATCCCAAATCAGCAGTGATGTTACAACCGCAAAGGATTCTGGGTGGGCATATGCAAATTAGTTTAACAAAGAATCACATTTTTGCCTCATTCCATTTTAAACATGGATTCCTTTTAATTTGTGTTTGCAGTGTACAACTGCTTGGAACACAATTTAGGATAAGATGCAAAACCAGTGAACCACTCATGGACAGCTGTTTCGTTGTTAATGCAACTCTTCAGCATGAGGTTGGTTAATGCAACCAACCTCATGCTGAAGAGTTGCATTAACAACGAAACAGCTGTCCATGAGTGGTTCACTGGTTTTGCATCTTATCCTAAATTGTGTTCCAAGCAGTTGTACACTGCAAACACAAATTAAAAGGAATCCATGTTTAAAATGGAATGAGGCAAAAATGTGATTCTTTGTTAAACTAATTTGCATATGCCCACCCAGAATCCTTTGCGGTTGTAACATCACTGCTGATTTGGGATTTCTGTGGGAAAAGCAAGTCTTATGGCTTGACTGGTGTGCAGATTTTTGTTTAGCATTGTATTAACTATCCACATACTTCAGGTGGAAGGGGTTTTCAATCACAATTTTTCCCCACCATAATCTATTTGGATCTTGCTATATATATATATATATATAGTAATTTTTGGCACTCTTCCCTTTTTGATTGAAAACCTCAATACAATACCAGGGTGCTTCCCAGCGCATTAAATATATCCAAAAAGTAAACAAGAGCACTCAGTGGTTTTTGAAAGTGAAAAAAGGTGTATTCATGGTCGCATATACAGATCAACCTTTCGGCCGACAAACTGGCCTTCATCAATATGATCTGTATGATCTTGATAAAGGCCGGTTTGTCGGCTGAAACGTTGATCTGTATATGTGACCATGAATACACATTTTTTTCACTTTCAAAACCATTGAGTGCTCTTGTTTACTTTTTGGATATAGATATGTCAAACTAATCATCAATTTCATCATGAGATTAATAACGTCCCCATTACAGAATCACATTATTCAAATAGCATGCCACACTATGTGCAGACGTCTAGCTGTCTGTTGGCAAATAATCCCCTAAAATCACTTAAGAGGATAACTATACTTCTTAAAGAGTAAAAAAAAACCATTTATTTATATTGTTCATGAACAATATCCAAAGCATCTAATAACTTGTGTTGTAGAAAGAGAGATATCTAACTATGAACAAAAATATGTGATTATCTGCAGATGGAATACTGAATAATGTGTATGGTCATTTTGAAAGGTAAACTATGAGCAGCTCTTTAAAGATGCATAAACGGATTGACTTATTTTGACCAAGCACTACCTATGTACTATAATTTCATATTTAGTCCTACACCTCTATTAACCAATTCTCTATAAACATGTCCAGTCCCTTTATATGTGAACATCTTACAAATGTATTAATTGCTTCCAGATTTTCTATTTCACCAGTGACTCTGATTTAGATTGTAGTCAAAACCAGCAAGCAAGCAAGCGAGATGTTCTAGAATCCCTTCGGCATTTTATGGAATTTGTAGATAGACAAACTGCAAAGCCATGTCAGCCACTATCTTGGAAAAAGTCTGCCAGTTTCGAAAAAAATTGAGGATTTCCCATCTCAAACAATAGGAAAAAACAGATGGATTAGCATCATGGCCTCAGTCATTCCAAAAGGGATAAATAGGGACAATGATTATTCCCGTATCCTATATTTCTAATTGAAAGGATGCTTTTCTTCTGAAGATCTCCCACTGGAGTGAAGAAAAGCAGATGTGAGGTCTTTACTCATAAACATGCCATCTCAGCACATAAAGGATATAGAGCTGTAGGCTTCATAATTACTGTGGGAAAGATGCTTAGCCAGTTATTAAGAAACATCATTCACAACTGTTATTTATACAACAATAAATGGAGCTAGAGTGACTTTAGAAGCAATACATTGTGGTCTGTCGATGTACTTTTTTGTGAGAAAAAGAAAAGGTCATTGATACCTGGTTAATAATTATATTTAATTGAATAAAAGATAACTGGTTGAGTAAGAAAAAGCATTGCGTGTCATTATTACTATTATAAAAGTATTCATTGGTTGCATACATTTTAATTTGTACAAGTTTGTATATTAACAACCTGTTAAAAAATAGTAAAACAGTGTCTTGAACTGTTTGGGATACGGTTAGGACATTTAAATCATAATATCCTTAACTCATATACAGTACCTTATTTTACATATACATCCCCTCAGGGAAGTTTCCATATATTCCTGTGTTAAAACCCAGAATTTTATTTTTATTGTTACTATTTATTTTATAAACATGTGTTTTATAAATAACTATATATATATATATATATATATATATATATATATATATATTTATTTATAAAACACATGTTTATAAAATAAATAGTAACAATAAAAATAAAATTTTTATATTATATGGCTCTCCCCCCACACCTAGTTAGAAAAATAGCAGATTCACAGACTTTATTTCCCCAGACATGCAGGTCTTCATGCAGTCATGCCTCCACTGGCTGAGATAATCAGTACTGAATGATGTGGGAATCTCGGCCAATCCAATGCTACCCCATAAGGAAGCATTGGGAGGCCAGTGTGCATGTGCAGCAATCACCACGCTGCAACCAATGCAGAGCTTGGAGATTTAAAAGCCGGTCCTGCATTCTTTGTAAGAACAAACCCATGAAGCCCTTCTAATGGCTGTTCAAGTGACTGCCACTAGAGGTGATATTAGGCTATATGGTCCAGAACCACTACATTGAGCTGTAGTGGTCCTGTCACCTGTAGTGTCAGGACCTTTAATTAAAGAAACACTCCAGGCACTATAATAACTTTATCAAAATGGTTACTGGTTCTGGCTTACGTTAATGAACCGTTTTACTGCAAAGTTTTCAGTCTGTTGCCACACAGCTCTGCCCCCAAAATTTCTTTTTGAGTCCAAGACTTCAATCAGGAAGGTATGCCACTGATTTGCCTAAGTACTCATCCCCAATTTTATGAAATCAATGCACAAGCTCTGGTAGAGCCAGTAACTTTCAGAAGTAACATTACTGGTTAAATAGAATCCATCTTCGTGAACGGAAAATGTCACATGATCTAAAAACAAACAAGCCTATATCTAGATGTCCTAAATGTTTGCGAGAATATCTAAAGAAACAATGTCATGATAAGCAAGTGAGTATCAAAGCAACTCTGAATGTCAAAGTTCTGGAGAAGCACCAGCCAGTGTTATAAAATAGATTTGAAGTGTTAGATCAATTATTAAAACTGGATAGAATATGATACAACAGTGCCTTAAAAAGTTTGTTCACAACAAATTAGCAATTGTGCAAAGAAACAACCAAGAGAGCAATGATAACTATAAAGAAGTTGAAAAAATCTGTAGCTACAATGGAAGAAACTGTCCATGGGATAACTAGAACCCCTATAGCATGCAAAACCAAGTTTGAAGGACACACGGTGAGAAGAAAGCAAGTCTGCTAAAGATATTCAGGACATACAGCCAACATGTGGTAATACTTATGTAAGACATTGAATGACATCTATCCAGATTCATATGTGTACTCTGGTGTCTCCCATTGAGTAAATGGTGTGCTCTTACCAGGCCTTAGTAGACTAAAAAAAAGGATATTTCTACATGTATGTGACCAAAAGTGTATGTACTTGCAATTCAATTTCTAGCAGTAAATAAATCTTGAAATGAATTGTATTAGAAACTAAAAGTCATGGCCAATCATCTGTTCATGTACAATATCCATATAAAAAAATATTTCTTAAGAAAGTAAACAGTAGACAGAAAACTTTCTCTATCTGGGAATATTGTGACAATTTGACATTGACAGCTCCATCTGTGAAAGCATTAAAATTCATTTAAGTCTAAAAAAGAATAAAAACGAACAACAGTGATGTCAGTAAATCAAAGTATAGCTAACAGATTAATTTTCTTTTGAAACATTGTGAATCTTCTATGTCCTGTGACATTTTAACGTTGAACATATTTTAACATGGAAAGAATACATGCCATAATAACAACGTGCCTATTTGTCATGTCATTTCCATTGCTTTTTCCCGCTGTGTGCACATCTGCACTTTCTTTCACTGTCACTGTAGTATCGCATAGCACTGCAGTCTCATGGTTCCAATCATCTGGAGGTCATGGGAAAATGAAAGCCTGTTATCCCATGTTACTATTTGTGAAGACTCGTAGGATGATATCCAGAGAAGTGCTACAAAAATATTAAATACAAGTGGTAATAATTGAATATTTAACACAGTACACATCATAATATGTAGGAGTATACTCCAATTATACTTTTATTTGGGGGATTATTCAATAAATTTGTAGTCAACATTTATGACTGTTATCATTTAAAGTCACCACATTTTTCCAGTTCAGATGAAACTTTCTTTGTTTACTTGAAGTTAACTAAGTTACTTGAAGTATGTGGGATATAATAGTTAGTATGTGTTTTCAAGTACACAGACTCTCTTTATTTTTGTTCTGTCTTTTTCCCTTCACCATTGTCACTTACTAGTGACTAGATTTAATACAATTATGCCTTTACTGGCAGAGTTATTTACTAAAGTGAGAATCTAAAGTGAATTTTAAATTCAAGGCCATATCAGGCGAACTAAGAGCATGACTGTAGAGAATATTTCCAGTTCAACTATTTGGATCTTCAACTTGAAATTCACTCTGAATTCTCACTTTTCTAAATAACCCTGTAAATCACTCAAATCATCCTAAATAGGGGCCTTGTGTGTTGCTCAGAAATGGAAATTTACCCTTAACTCCCATTAATTCCTCCAATAATAAAAAATAAAAAAAACATAAACTACATTTTTAATGTTAGGTATTGACTTTTTAAAAAAGCAAACCTTTTCGAAAACAAAGATTGTCAATTGTTCTAAAAAAAATAAAATCATAAAAGCATCTAATGTGATGCTCCCAGGCTCTCTATAACTACAAAAGGATATGTCATAATATTTGTTTGAAAGAGCACCGAGGGATATAATACAAATATATTCAAGGTCAGTACAAACTGCTCTCTGGCTACCTGTTCAAAAAAAAGACTGTACAGAGGACAATTTAGACTTGAAGAGATTTCACCTATAGCAAAGGAATAGTTGTTTTGCAGTATGAACAAGTATGGTGTAGAATTCACTGCCGAACAGAATATTCAAGGATATAATAGTTAGTATGTGGGATATAATAGTTAGTATGTGTTTTCAAGTACACAGACTCTCTTTATTTTTGTTCTGTCTTTTTCCCTTCACCATTGTCACTTACTAGTGACTAGATTTAATACAATTATGCCTTTACTGGCAGAGTTATTTACTAAAGTGAGAATCTAAAGTGAATTTTAAATTCAAGGCCATATCAGGCGAACTAAGAGCATGACTGTAGAGAATATTTCCAGTTCAACTATTTGGATCTTCAACTTGAAATTCACTCTGAATTCTCACTTTTCTAAATAACCCTGTACATTTCCCTTAAGAACTTTTATTGCAGAGAACTGTGATGAAAAGGCTTAAAGGCTGATTTTTCATAATGAACATTCCCTGTTAGTTACGTACTGAAAGAGAGGTACTCAATGAAACCAAACGGTAAGGTTCACTTAACTGTTTTAGTTCTATGCAAGGAAAATACAGCAGTGTGTTAACCATTGTCACCTTGCAACACCTCAATTGTGTACATTTATGTAGACAACAGTATCATTTACAATAAGAAAATGAACATAGAACTTGTGTTGTTATTAAAAGATGTTTTTTTCTAAATAAGCTGTTCTTAAATTCTTAAATGTTGACAAAACTGTCAAAATGTATTCAGAACAAAGCATGGATTGTTTAAGTTAAACAATCCTCAATTAATCATGTAACCTTTACTCAATTACAATCTAGCCTCAGGCAGCGTTAAATATCCTAGACCATGGATAGGTCATAATCTATCATTTGAACTTCATATTGATAAGTTAATATGTAACGTCTTACCCAAAATGAATGCTAAGTGCAAATGTAAACACCATTCATTGATGATAAAGTTTATGCATCTTTACCTCATTTTGTATATAACTAAAAAAAGACAGCCAAAGCCAACTAATCACTGCAGCATATTATAGTGGTTAAGGTGACTTGAATCCCCTGATGGTGTCCCCCAGTGAAGAGATAAAACAAACTTACCTGGGTCTCAGGCTTTCCTTGATATATAGCTAGAGCAGAATATCCCATGTCTGCATAGATAGATGTATAAAATGTGTCCCTATTTGGATGGCATTTCTTGGTCGAGAGGATCAACAGTTAGCTAAATAAATCAGTTAGCAGAATGGATCAGTTTGGCCCATATGTCTTCTAGATAGAGAGCGATAGATAGATAGATAGATAGATAGGAAACCTTCCTATTGTTCAAATCTCATCTGAGTCAAATTCTAGCAGGTTGCCCTCGGGTCACTTGATTAGTCCATCTATTTATGGGGGAAAATACTAG